TTAGTCCAGTGCAGAATGATTACATTATCTGCTGAAACTCGGGAGGACCCCAGTGGATCTCAGCAGCTGATTTCATTGGTCTGCATTTGGCCATGGGAACATAATAAGACACTTCTCTGACCCTGTCTGCATGGGCCAAAATACTTGGGGGTGTGTGTCCTGGTTCTGGAGCTGCCCGACGTCCCCCCATTACCTGGCACCCCTGTCCCAATGCTGGGCAGCAGTTTGCATACGTTTCTCACTATGCCACCTGGTGTGGCTGCCGTTGTAGGTGGCTCACTCACTCTGAGGTGAGAACAAGGCACCCATCATTGATTGCATGGCAAGGGATAAGTGGTGGTCATGCCGGGCTGGGACACATGTGCAAACAGCCACCTGGCATCAAAACAGAGGGCTTCAGATCTCCCAAAGAGATCAGAGCAAACAAAGAGTTAATTTCATTCATGTTCAGGGTGTTATGCCCTGGGTTTGGTGCTGAATGGGCTGGACGTCTTCCAGCCTGTTTACAACAGATACAGGTTTTGGGCCCTGCATCATCTGGACTCCCTGCCCAGAGGACGGGGGGGGGGACGGCGTTTTATTTGGCCGATGCAGACAAGGCCTGTGATTCCTCCTGCTTTTCACCAGTCACAGAATGTGGTGTGTGTGTGTGTGTGTGGCTGCAGCAGCTCAATGACACATTGGGGGGTGTTGACTGGCCAGCTGTGGCATAGTCCCACATGTGGAACTATTATATTGAGCTGTGCCATACAGTATCTCAGCCCCAGAAGGCAAAATTTTATACATGCACGCATGCATAGGCACATGCATATGCACAGACAAACCATAGGATTAAAAAAAAAAGATATGCACAGACTCAGTAGAATACCTCACTACACTGTTGTAGCGCTATTTTCCCCTTTTTACTGCTACGGCTGCCTCTTGTGGCATTCTGGGGTTTGTAGTTTAGTGAGGCCTAAGAGCTTTCTGGCTCACAGTTCTAAACACCCTTCCCTAAACTGCAAATCCCAGGATACCCAAGGAGACAGCTGTAGCAGTAAGAGTGAAATACTAGCGCTATTAACAGTTTAGTGCAGTATGGACTTCAGTCCCAGCAACCCTCAAGAGCAATGCACAGAAATATTAATAAAACTGGGAAAATTACTCTTAAAATCCTACATTCCATCTCACTACCTTGGTGAGATAACTTATTCTTGAATAACATGTACAAAATTGCAAGGAGGAGCAGGAGCAAGAAGAATCATAGGAATGTTTTCTTTTCTTTTGCAAATCCCGTGTATTTTGCTTAAAAGGAAGTCACTGCACAGAGAAGACAGGCACATTAGTAAAGGATTTCCAAAGCAACTACTTTATACATTGATTGTGCTCCATGTTTAGAGCAAAAACCAACACAGTACAAAAATACAGTTTACGGTTTTCTTCTCAGAAGTAAAAAGGGCTACATTATTCAGGCATATGCATAGGGAGCACATTTTGACAGCATTCGAGACCGCACTATTGTTTCTAGCAGTCACAATTATGATAATTCACAATCCAGCACAAGAACACTCTGCCCTTTCTCCCATTATAACTCAACTTTCACAAGAAGAAAGTGAATCAAACATCTAAGGCTGTGAATCTAATATAGGCTGAATGAAATGGAATCACCACAAAACCACTTGTTCAGAAGCACAGTCCCCCCCACACCCCCGGTAGCAACATTACATAGAGAAAGAAAGTAAAAGAAATGGCTAAACTCATGAGTTTCAACCCTAATGTGTAAAAATGCAGAAGTAATGAAAACATTACATGCACATTTTACAGGTATGATATCATCCCTTCGTAAGTCACAACTGTAGTATAATTCAATTGTTCCTTTGTAATGAAATAAGGGAATTAATTACAGGTTAATAGTTATTTGTAAGTAGTTATTCCCAAGCTCTAGTTCTGGCTAATAGAAAGAAACGCCATGGGTGCATCTTACTTTTCTATAGTATAACCCCATTGTTCTACAAATGTTGTGTCTGCCTTAACTCGAAGTTGCTTCTAGCTCTGGATGCTGCACCTAATGGTTTCTAGCAAATTCTTTGCCTCTTCAAACTGTTGAACATTCAATTCATGCCTCCTGGTTATTGCATTCAGATGTTTAATTCCATTGTGTGGCTTCCAAAAGCTCTCTGTGATTCTGCTGTTGGAGTTCCAGCTTTTTCATTTCCAGCTTTAAAAGTCAAACATTTTCAGTGTTTTGTATTGTTTCCAAAATCTTTGTTAACTTGTCCTTCCCTGCTGATTCCTGTTCACAAGAATCATTAGTTGGCTGATTTTTAGAAGACGTTTCCCTTTCCTGTGCTAATGGCTTCACTGGTATAGAATGAGCAAGCTTAAATTAACATGTACCTGCACTGAATTAAGCCTTTAAAATATCTTTTAAAAGAAAAGTCAGTTTAATTCTCCAAATCAGGACTGACACAGAGAAACTTTCGGTGGTAGAATTTTTTGGATGCTTTGGGTGGCAGAATTCAGAGGAGGAGTGGAGGGGAATATGGCCAGTATCCTGTGAATGACAGATACATGTGTAAATCATGCTACACATATGAGGTGAATAATTTGCCTTGGCAGAACAGATGTATTTCTCTGACAGAGACAGAAGTAGATGTATGCATACAGCAATCCTTTGAACTGCAGTTGCGCCTTGCACATGATGGTTGCACATTGCACAGGACGGTTTCACACTGTGCATGGCAGCTATGCATTGCACAACAGCACCCAGGCATTGCCCTGTGTTGCACTATGTTGCTATTCTGCATGGGGGCTGTTTAGTGTATCTCTCCATGAATATGCTGGGAGGATGTTGGTGTGCAGCTTTTGGGACCCTCCAGATATTCTTGGACTATAGCTCCCATTGATTCAGGACCAGAATAGATAATACCAAAGTTTGATGGGAGTTGCAGTATGACAACTTCTTGGAGGGGCACCATTTCCCATGGCTTGGGACAGTTGTTGTTGTTGTTTGTTGTTGTGTGCCTTCAAGTCATTTCCAATTTATGGAGACCGTATGGTGACCCTCTCATGGGGTTGTCTTGGCAAGATTTGTTCAGAGGAGGTTTGCCATTGCCTTCCTCTGAGGCTGGGAGCATATGACTTGCCCAAAGGTTTCATGGCTGAGTGGGGAATTGAACCCTGGTCTCCAGAGACATGGTCCAACATTCAAACCACTACACCACACTGACTCTTTGGGACAGATACAGAGGGATAAATGCAGGTAGGATTTAATGTCTGAATTATGCAGAAAGATTTCTGGAAAATGTGGGATGAGATCCTGGATTAGAGTCTATGATGTATAATTTGATGATGGTGATGATGATGATGATGACAGTAACAACAACGTTAATTTATAATGCCCTTTCCATCAAAGGGTGGTACATCAAACATATACAGAGACAATGCTGCTGGAGCTATGTTGCTGACATGATACACAACCATGCTAATGAATTGTGACAGTGCATGATGGGGCACTGTGCTAGATGTCACAATGCACAGTAGGGGCTCCGCGACACATTGTGCCTTGGGGTGTGTTGCACGATAGCCACACTGTTGGCTCTGCATTCCCAAAGATCCCAGTGACATACCAATGGTCCTAGTGACATGCTCCCCTCCTGAGAATACAAATGCTGTGCAATGTGGCAATTCAACTTTACATCATTCTCAGTTGGTTTACAATGACATAACCTCCCAACAGGATGCCAGCTACTGGAGGTTTTTTACTGCTTTGTTTCTGGCAGAAAATAACCTAGGTTGGCACTATCTCAAACTGCTGCCTTCTCAGATCCTGAGAACTGTTTCTGCCTATTTCTCATGGTCTGCATGACTCATAACAAAGTCTAGAGGCTGTGTGAGATACACACTGATTACATTGCCAGCTGCTGTAGTGTGTGTATCTGTGTCTGTAGCGGGATCAGTAAATGTAAGAGGAATACAAACAAGGAAATTTACCTGGCAAGAGGCAGCCACTGAAATAGTATAGCCTTACATCAGAGATGGCCAAAGTGTTTTCATGGCCCTGAGGTCTGTTTTGGGGTCCTTCACCCCTCCAGAATTATGGGACCTCCATTTTTCTGCCCCGCAAGGGATCAATGGCCTCTCCAGGAAGCCTCCAGGACTGGTCATTCGCCTGTCAAACAGAGTTGACTTCAGGTGGTTCGTACACAACATTAGAAACCCCCCACCCCACCCCGACAAACCAGACCCAAATTCCTGGCTATTCTCAGGGTTTTATGGGCTTTTGGGCAGCCCATGCTGTCACTGGAAGCCTCAAGATGACTAGCCCTGCTTTATGGAGTGGAAGTTGGTCCTCATACTTTTAAAATCCAGATTCAATTCAAATGCATTTCTGTACAACTAACATTTCTAAATCAAACCTCTCTTATGGGGGTTGCAGACTACCAGAAATAGTGCAAATTCAGTCCACTTTTGGGGTTAGGATTAGTGCTAGGGAACCATGGGAACTGTATTTTATTGTAGCACCAGAGCTCTCTGACAGAGAAGACTCAATGTCTGAGAAAAAAACCAATTCCCATGATTCCCTAGCACTAACCCTAACCCTAAAAGTGGACTCAATTTGCACTATTTCTGGCAGTCTGCAACCCCCCTTAGTAAGAAGTTGCTTCAGAGCTGTGGGGCCCACAGGATGGAGATGTGTGAGCCCATTCTGCTGTTTCAGAGCAGGATTGTCCAAAGAGAAATCTTTTAAAGTAAAGTTCATTTGGGAAACTCAATTCAAGCAATTCTGGCAGTGTCTGGCACTCAGCTGAGAATTCACAAGTAGACAGTTTCTCTCTCTCCTTCATTTAGGAAATTCACAATGACCTAAACCTTTCTCCTCACTCCCTTTCTTCTGCTTTCTTCTTCTTTCTCACTGGCAGATTGGACAGTCTACCCAAAAGGCTTTTATGACCACAGAAAATGGAGGGTCGCTTGCATAGACACAGAGTCTGCTGTGAACATGCATTCCAGGATGAAGGGAGTGTCTCTGGCTCAGGCATCTTTTACCATTAGGTCAAATGGGCTTCCCCAATTTTAAGTTTTCTGCTTATTATTTCCTAAAGAAGTACAAATGCCATTAGAGTGTAGCTATAGGGAAGGGGCAATAAGACTTCTTCGAATAAGACTTCTACCTCCTCAGATTAAGGAGATTATCTCATGAGACTCACCCACAAATATCCCTGATGGGATAGATGCGCGTTTAACCCTCAATGATGGATCTTACCATACTCTCCCATGGTTGGGCTGTAGGCAGCCCATATGCAAGCTGGGTTTATCTCACAGCTTTTCAAGAATGGAAAAATCCCATTCTTGAAAAGCTATGGGACAAGCATGGGCTGCATATGGGCTGTCTGTGGCCTGACCATGGGAGAATGTGGTACAATCCATCATTGAGGGTTAAACACGCGTCTATCCCATTGGGATATTCATGTGCGAGTTGTGTGAGATAATCTCCTAAATTGCTGTAGTATCCACTCATTATCCAATTCATTAATTTTTTAAGCACTGCAGTAATTAAGAAACATGTAGAAACACACTTTAGGCACCTGAACAAAAGGGAAAGGGAAAGTTATCAAGAGAAAGTGAATACAGCAAATATCATATCTTCCAACTACCCCAATTTATTTGGAAGTGGCAAACCTCCTCTGAACAAATTTTGCCAAGAAAATCCCATGATAGGTTCCATCTTAGGGTCGCTATAAGTCAGAAGTGACTTGAAGGCACACAATAACAACAAACAAATGTGTTCCCCTCTGTTGACCAGGACTCACCCCCAAATAAGTCTGCATAGGGTTGCAACCTATGGAGGTGTTCCCATATTCCACTCACCCCTTTCCAAGCAGAAAGCAGTGCCATTAAAACTAATTATGCTACAAAACAGATTCTAATTAAAATAAAAAATGCCACAAATTAAATTTTTCCACATGCCAACTTACTGCTGGTTGCAAATGGATGGTAGCCCATCCTGGAAAAATCTCAGAGCTCTTTTAGGAAATGGTAAGAAATGAACTTTAAAAGATGAGGATAAGTTATTCTTGTAGGCATGTCAGCATCCAAGGTAGCTTTTACATAACTCAAGGCCTTGCTTACATGCAGCTCTTGGGTGCACAGCACATTGAAGTTACCCACCTCTGAACTGCGGCATTGGCCTCTTCATCTACTTCTTTCTCCCTTTACTAGTTATTGGGCTGAAGGAAAAATCTTCTTGCAAAGTCAGGGAAGGGAGTGATAAAACAAGACGCTCCCTACAACAGTAAGTATGGCAGGGGGTTGGACTGGATGACCCTTGTGGTCTCTTCGAACTCTATGATTTTATGATTCTATGAAATGCTTCCCACGCTCCAGGAACTCATCATGGCTTAAGCTTTGAAAAGCATCTGTCCCCACCCACAGCAGCAACAACATCATGTGAGGCCATCTCCTTTGCCTTCCCAGAGCCTTCCCAAATTCCCAATGCCTTTTAAAAGATGGTGAAGTCATTCTCACTTACTGTTAGAGCTTGAGAAAGTCACAGTTTTGGACGATGACTCCCCGGCTCCTCCTGGGAGTTTCTGGGAGTTGTAGTCTAAAAATGTAACTTTTCCCAAGCTCTGCTTTTTGTCAGCTAACCATTTTGTCGTCAGGCAGGAAGGCTCAATATGAATATCTCAAACAGCTAAGAACTTGTCAAAAGGACTTCATCTCTAGATTTGCTAGGGTTGCCATAGTCATCACTAGATGAATACCTGTCTGTCCCAAACCTTTTCTCTGATCTGTTTCTGATGGAAGGGAATCACATACAAAATGTTCACTGGAGTTGTCTGATCTTCTCAGTTGTGCCAATGTGCTGCAAAAAAGGCACACAACTTACATGCCCCCATGCTCTGTCTTTGAGAGTGTGCAACAGGAAATTAGAAGAAGATTAAGAATGAGGAGAGTGGCTATGAAAAAAAAAAGATCCTAAAATGCAAAGAAATACAATTGAGCACAAAAGTCAGAATCGTACAAGCCATTGTTTCCCCTATAACCCTGTCCAGATGTGAGAGCCGGACAATTAAGAAACGTGAAAGGAAGAAAATCAATGCATTTGAGATGTGGTGCTGGAGAAGAGTGCTGAGGATTCTGTGGACAGCTAAAAAGCAAATGGGTCCTAGAGCAGATCAAGCCCAAAATCTCCCTGGAAGCCAGGATGACAAAACATAGGCTGTTGTATTTCAGACACATCATGAGGAGGCACAACACATTGGAAAAAACAATAATGCTAGAAAAGGTGGAGAGAAGTAGAAAGAGAGGAAGGCTGCATGCTAGATGGAAGGATTCTATTGGGGAGGTCACAGGTATGGGTTTGCAGGACCTAAGCAGGGCAGTGGAGGACAGGGACTCTTGGAGATGTCTCATCCGAAGTGTCGCCATGGGTTGGGATCAACTTGAGGGCGGTTAACAATAATAATGATGAAGTGGTCTCTGTGGTGGACTCAGGCTGCACTGCAGAAAGAATGCAGTTTGACACCACTTCAACTGCCATAGCTCAATGCTTTGGATTTTTAGAATGTTATTATTATACCTTTCTAATCTCTGCCTGCACATGCTGGCAGAACAGTTGTGCTGGGATAATAACAGCAAGACTAAGGAAACTAACGGCATAAAATCCATCTGCCCACCTTTTAAAATTATTTTTAGCAAATTGGCCCATCTTCTGTTTGAGTGACTCATGACAGTGCGCCCTTGCCTACATTAACACAATTAGCCTTTTTTTAATTATTATTATATTAAAAAATGAACAATGCAACGTTTCCTTTCAGAGCAAGGAGGTCTTCCTCGGTTTACCTCGCTCTCCTCTGAATGCTTCCGATTAGCATCTTAATTGAGAGGGCTGCCATGGCAGCTGCTAATTATTCTCCTTCAAGTCCTCTGCCAGCACGATTCGGAACAGGTGGCAGTGGGGCTGGATTTAGTTTGCCAGCACTTTTCCAGGCAGGAGGGTGGGTGAGGTAGGGAAGGATAATTAGAGGTTTCAGCAATAAAAGACAACTCTTCAGGGGCTTGTTCTAGCTGCCACCTTTAAACCGGAATAAATTGCAACAGCAGTTACTTGCTTGGGTTATCACCTTCCCTCCTCCCATGAGAAGAGCCTGACAGGCGGATATTTGGCAAGGGAGGCTTTTCTCACAGCTTCTCTCCCAGGGCCAACCCTAGGCAGAGTGTGGAA